AAAGTTAGTGCATGAAACAAAATACGCACATCATAATTAAAAAGGTAAGCGCATGAAACAGAATAGGCACTACATACTTTGATCAAGCTTCGACGCTTGTTTAAAAGAATTAGACGTTTAATGAGAGATCATCAGCCTAGTTAAGTCTTAAGGGTTAAAGCAGCAAAAAATATAGAAGATTCCTTATTTATTGAAGTGTTAACTTGCTACTTGTAAAATCTACCCAAACTAGAGGACCATCTAAAATTTAATCTAGGATCACATCTTGAGAAAATGAGTAAAAAAAACAAGTTTAAGGGTGTGTATCTCACGAGTGGAGAAAGAGACATGTAACAATTAAGGGTTGGGATTTGAACCAAGCATGAATTTATGATATTCTACATGAATCTTCATACACACACATCAAGTTTTGAGTTGGATCTATGTGATTTCGAAGCTATCTTTGTTGAATAAGGTTATATTTTGTTTGAAGACAAACAAGTATTGAAGTTTGGAGATTTCTTTTAAGTGTATATTATACATTATTTATTCCTTTAAATTAGGATATTTGTTGGATGTTTTAATGAATCATGACTTAATTTTATGTATATTGTGCCATTGTTTGAGCTCCATTCTTTAAAAAATATATTTTTTAAAACTCATTTTTAACCACATATTTCCCTGTAAAATAATATTACAAGTATATCAAAAAGATTTTTTTTACTTTTTAACCACACATTCTCCAAAAAAATACTATTCCAAAATACATGTTCTCCAAAAATTTATTTTTAATTGAGTCTAAACATGGACTATGTTTGTTAGGTAAAGATCGATGGAATTGAAGAAAATGAACAAAAGAAGGACAAAATTGCAAGAAATTTAAAGTTCAAGAACTAAAGCGTAAATAATAAAAAGTTGTGGCGGAACTCATAACTTAGATTCCAGTATGTTAAGAGTCAATTGGAGGAGAGTAGAAGACAATGGAATGAAAAATAATCAAGGAGGAACAAAATGAATTTGTGGGAAAATTCGGAGACCAAATTGCACATTTGGTCCCAACCATTGCACCATGAACAGACATGAGCCTACAGACCACACGTGCACAAGGTGGTCTTCTACAAAAACTGAGGCTTAGCAGCATGTGTAGTGCACGGGCATGGCATATAATCATGCGTATGCATGGCTTCCACCGGAAAGAAAAATCAAGATTCCTTTTTTTGTTCGACTCTCATATGGACTGATTCCCCAGCACCCTCTTAACCTAAGCAAGGCTGTCAACAACAAGTAATTAAACATTATATCTCATAGAAGACGTCTAGCAAGAGATAAGAAGCGAATTAACACAAGAATTGAAGTTGCAAAGCTTGGATTCAAGTTTCAAGGATTGAAGTTTCATGTTTATCCTCTTATTATTTGATTCGGGTGATGTCTTTTTAATTTTTATTGTGTAATTTAAATTTAATTACGCTGGGCTAAACTTCATAGTGCATTGGATGATGATGAGAACGTTGGATGTTTATTTCTAATTTATGGACAAGTGGTTTGTTATTTTTTGTGTTCTTGATAGATTATGCAGGCTTTTATCATTATTTGATTGATTGGCCTTCAAAAGGTAATTTGTTACTTGCTATAGTGTTGAAAAACACACTATAAGTCTAGAACACTACATAATTGACACGTGGATCATAGGTCTTTGGAATAACATTTGTAGCGTATACAATCTCATCAGATAGTAGCGTGATTGAATGCATATCTTTACATATAAATTCGAACTAGGGACAGAATAGGGGCATTCTTAGAATAGGTTTGATCTATCTTGGAAAAGAAAGTCAAACAACATAGAATTATCGATTGTCACGAGCACTTGAATGAAACTAAACTACATAGGTAGAGATTTGGAAATAAATGCCAATAGGTGAATTCTGAAATCCACTACATTCATTCCATAATTTAATAAAAATCACCGCATTTTACATATTTTGTAGCACAACTTGGGACAATTACAGTGATCAATATCTCTTTTGTGTTACTACATCGAATTTGATAGGAAACTAATACAGTACAGCTAGATTTTATTTCTCGTGGAATGATACACGTAACTCATCACGTATTAATTGTCAATAATCCCGTATGCTTACGGGGTTTACTCGAACTTAATGTAATTGTAAAGATTAAAGGAGATCAAGTTCATTTCAGCAACTTTCAATCAAGTTTGTTAAAGATTTCAAAACTAAAATAATTTTTATACATTGATTACATTCTAGTCACTAGATTATAGTCATTAATCTAAAGCCCTACATGTCACCATTAAATTCTAATATCGGCATAGATCGCATTAACTAGTACGCCACATCAGACAAAAATGTGTTCAAAACATCTATAAACGCATAATTATCACACACATTATTTTTTTCATACTTGTTCCATTTTTATAAGCATTAATTGGTGTATTTTTGGATTTTGTTGATGCTTTTTTTAGGGTCATTAATACAAAACATCCTTATCTTTTAATGTTATTGTGCAAAACGTTCATACCTTTCATTTTTTGGCACTTCACCCTTACCTTCACCTTTTATAGCAAAAATCATCATTTTCATCAAATTTTTCGTGTAAAATGACAAATATACCCCTATTTAAATAAAATAATAAAAAAGAAAAGTTAAAGAATAAATTGCAATCATACTCCCAAACTTTTTAAAAAGTGCAAATGAATCCAAAGAAATTATTAAAAGGGAAATTGGCACAAAATATCCCTAACTTTTATTATTATTATTATTCAAAACGTCCATACCTTTCATTTTTGACATTTTCACCCTTATTTCATATTACATTGTGAAAATCGTTATTTTCATCCATTTTCTAAATTAAAAGCTATAAAATAACAAATATACACTTTTCTAAATAACAAAAATAAAAATAAATAAAAAATTGCAACTACATTTTCAAAATTTTCAAAGAAGTACAAATAAATTTCAAATAAATAATTTGTAATTTTTTTGAAAAAATTGCGAGTATAGTTGCAATTTGCTCTTATTTTTCTTATTTTTATTTTTGTTTATTTAAAGAGGAGTGTATATTTGTCATTTTACAGTTTTTAATTGAGAAAATGGGTGAGAATAATGATTTTTACAATGACATATAAAAATAAGGGTGAAAATGTCAAAAATGAAAGGTATGGACGCTTTGCATAATAATAATAAAAGTTAGGGACATTTTGTGCTAATTACCCTTTTAAAAATTTCTTTGGATTCATTTGCACTTTTTAAAAAGTTTGGGAGTATGATTGCAATTTATTCTTTAAGTTTTCTTTTCTTTTTTATTACTTTATTTAAATAGGGGTATATTTGTCATTTTACACGAAAAATTTGATTAAAATGACGCTTTCCGCAATAAAAGGTGAAGGTAAGGGTAAAAGTATCCAAAATTAAAGGTATGGACGTTTTGCACAATAACATTGAAAGGTAAGGATGTTTTGTACTAATTACCCTTTTTTTAAGACGTGGGCATTATTGTCTCGGACTGCATACTAGTTAATGCCTTTTGTATCCATGTTTGGAAATTCCTGTAGCACGTATGATTTTGGGTTAATCTTTTCCGAGGAAGTCTCAAATTAAAGGATTAATCCATTTGTACGGAAGAAAGTTTCACAAAAGATTGCCAAAATACTCTCATGATATGAGGCCCACCGTGAAAAAAAATTGCCAGAAAGGAACCCACGCACCCCCCCCCCGTGTGTGTTCTAGTAGGCTCATGTGAAGAAGCCTACTATACATCAAGCAAAACCCCAAACTGAAATTTATCCAGCAAGGCACAATATAAATAGTACTTCTGAAGCACGGTAATTTTTATCGATAAGATGATGATTATATATATATAAAGATTACAAATATTAAAAACAGCAAATGATCGAGGCAGTGTAGCTTATTTGGCAATAAGAACTGCCCTCTAACCTTGGATAAATTAACCTTCAATCGATGGGTTGTATGGTGTAGCAATCAAATAAAGGTTATTTTTTCTCTGCACACTTACTCCAGGTATCTCACTCATGTCTAGATCACCATGGTTCATTACATGAGGAAGTTTCCAGTCAAAGTGATAAAGAAGTTGAGCTAAATGCACGTCAATATTTGCAATTCCAAAGTTCATGCCCGGACAAAACCTCCTTCCTGATCCAAATGGAATATATTCGAGGTTATTTCCCATGAAATCAACAGAACTGTTCTTGAATCTCTCGGGTTTAAAGATTTCTGGTTTTTCCCAATATTCTGGATCTCTTCCCAAAGCCCAGATGTTCACAGCAACCTTTGCTTTGCAGGGTATGGTATACCCATCGACTTCACATTCTTCCCTGCATGCTCTTGGGAGTAAAGTGACAGCGGGATGTACCCTAAAGTTTTCCTTGATTATCAACTTCAGATATTTTAGGTTTTGAATGTCACTTTCCTCGATTGTCTTCTTTCTTTTAAAGGCTTCTCTTATTTCAGCTTGCGCCTTTGCCATCACTCATGGATTTCTCATCAATTCTGTCATCGCCCAATCGAATGTTGTGGATGAAGTTTCAGTTCCGGCCATAAACATATCCTGCAATTACACCAACATACTTATTGAAGCTGAAACAAAATCAACAATATAATGGTTAAGAAAACGTACGCAATGTAATTTATGGATGAAGGACTTACGAAGATTGTTGCTTTGATGTCATCATCGGTTATTGGAACATCAAGATCCTCACTTTGTTGCTTTTGGAGGGGAACATCTACTATGTTTTCACTAACCAACTCCCCATTGTCTCTTTTCTCTCTAGCTAACTTATGTTTATGCTCATTGAGCATGACATCAAGAATTGAGTCGAGCTTACGACGCATCTTCAACAGTTGATGTTTATTCCAACTGAGAATTTGAAGGAACTTTAATGATGGGTACAAATCGGCCAATTCAAATCCCCCTGCGAAGGCTACTCCTATCTTCATGAAACTTATCAAAGTGTCTTGCTCTTTCAACATCCCACCAAAAGCTGCTCTAGCTGTGACTGAACTTGTATATGATAATAACATGTTGGTCACGTTGAATGGTTCTCCATGTGATCGAATAGATCTAATAAGCTTAGAGATCTCGTCATGCCTTATATGACCGTATGACCGAACTTTTTTGTTGCTCAAGATCTCCATAATGCATATTTTATGTATTTGCTTCCAGTGCTCATTATATGGAATAAAGGCAAGATCCTTATAGTCATATCATAATGTTTACATCCCTATACTTTCCCGTCCGTCTGCAATAGCAAGATCATTTACCGTGAGTACTTTTTTGGCTATTTCACGTGACGATATGACAATTGAGGAAACTTCACCGAGCTTCAAATGTATGATCGGTC